TGCGAGCCGGAGGCGCTCGCCAAGCGCCCGGCCGCGCTGCCCCTGCTGGAGCGCGGGAGCGAGGGCGCCGCCGCCGGCTCGCTGCCCTCCACGCCGCCGCCGGCCGACGACGACGACGACGACGAGCTGTACCGCCAGTCGCTGGAGATCATCTCGCGCTACCTGCGGGAGCAGGCGGGCGGCCGCAAGGACGCCAAGCCGCTGGGCGCGCCGGGCCGGCGGGCGCTCGAGACCCTGCGGCGCGTGGGCGACGGCGTGCAGCGCAACCACGAGACGGCCTTCCAGGGTAAGGGCGCCGGGGCGGGCCGGCCGGGGGGCATTGTTTCCGCCCCGCCGGCCGTTGGCCTCTCAGTGGCCGGAAAGGGTGGGAGGTCAGCGGCGGCGTGGGGTCCGCCGGAGTCCCCCCTCGCCGCGGGTGGACAGGGGTCCCGCCCCGCGGCGCACAAAGGAGGCTCTGAGGTTGCGGCCTTTTCTCCTCCCCCCCCCCCCCAGGCATGCTTCGGAAACTGGACATCAAGAACGATGACGATGTGAAATCTTTTTCTCGAGTGATGGTCCATGTTTTCAAAGATGGCGTAACAAACTGGGGCAGGATTGTGACTCTTATTTCTTTTGGTGCCTTTGTGGCCAAACACTTGAAGAGCATAAACCAGGAAAGCTGCATCGAACCATTAGCAGAAAGTATCACAGATGTTCTTGTAAGGACGAAACGGGACTGGCTTGTCAAACAAAGAGGCTGGGTAAGTTTGCCTCATCGTTTAAAGGGGCCGTGGAGTGGAAATGGGGTGCAGGGTTTTGTGTAGGTGGGAGCACGGAATGGTTTTTACGGAGCTCCTCCCCGGTTTCAGATCGAAGTTCTGTATCTCTGGTTGCTTGATGTTGGTTGTTGTAAGTGGTAGGTCCAGAGAGAAAGTGGTTATGACTCGTTTTGAATTGTACCATAAGGTCTTGTATTCTGTAGGTTGTTCTTCTAATTCAGTTGGATAATCTTCAGAGCAGTGGATTCAAACCGTGAAGAAGTAAGAGTCACCTGTGGTGACTAAATTACGTTTCCATTGGGCCCCTCATTTTAATCATATGGATCCTGCATTTTAGAAGTTAATACCCAAAGAGCTCTGGTGTAAGGTGCACACAGCCTTGTCAGGAAGCACTGACCCATGGGAGAAATGCTAGAGGGGTCTCTGAAGAGTGGTTAGAATTTTTGTCTTGTCTGAAAACGGGAGCCTCACAATTCTTTTGTTCAGAATATGCCAAAATAATTGAGGTGCAATACGGCTGCTGTAAGTTTGAGTGTAACCGAATTCACTGAAAAGAACTCTACAAGCACCTCTTTTCCATCCTAGGAGTGGATAATGGATCCACCATTGTTGTGGGAGATGTTTTAATTCCCATACTTGAAAAATGTGCTTTTCTTTTTGTTTTCTAGGATGGGTTTGTGGAATTCTTCCACGTACAGGACCTAGAAGGCGGCATCAGAAATGTGCTGCTGGCTTTTGCAGGTGTTGCTGGAGTAGGGGCTGGTCTGGCTTACCTAATCAGATAGCCTTGAGTACAGTGGGTGACTCCAGCCACCAAACTACATGCTTCTGTGGACACAAGTGTATTTATCAAGTTGGACTTGAAGCTGCCCGCCTTTAACAATCCATGAATTCTTCTCTAGCAACATAGCCAGAGAGAAAGCAAGTGGCAACAGGATTGTGGCTAACAAGAATAAATACATGGGAAAAGTGCTCCCTCTGGAAGATTAATGTCTGAAAGAAGCAAAGTTCACTCTCAGCAACTTTGGGAGGCCATGGAGGAGGACTTGTAGATTGAATGAGAGTGGGTGGATGGAAAATTCGATTTCCTTGTTTAAAACTAGAAGAGGGGCCAGTCACCAGGCTAGTCATAGTCAGTAACCTCGCAGAATCCGTTGTTCTGCTGTAGTGTTGAAGAGGAGCAGTAACAGTGGTGGAGACCTGTGGGAAATGGATTTTTAAGCTACAAGTGACCGAACTATGACTAGAAGCTGCGGTGCTGTCCGAGAATTGGAAAGGAGGCGCGCTCTTAGCCTTGCCAGGTGGACTTCCAGACAGGGCCCAAGTGGGACTTTAGACCTGTCCACACTGACCTGGTTTGGATGATTCTTAAGTTTATTAGCCTCGTAATGGCCAAACGTACTTGACTTAAGGTTCACTAATTAGTTACCAAACGGAATAGCCTCAATTTTTAAGAAAAGCCGCTTATAAAATATTTGTCTGTAAAAATTGTATATATTTTTACAGAAAATCTATTTCTTTGAACATAAAAAGAGGGAACTCTTGGGACTAGTTTTTTTCATGCCCTTTTGAAAATTGCAACTTCTCTAGTTAGAAATCTATTTCTTACAGCTTTTTAAAGACTTTGTCATGATCAGTTCTAGAGTATATACAGAACCAGCTGTATGTGTGGACTGGTTGTAGAATAAATCATAACTATGCAGGCTTAATTTTCCAATCTGATTTTGTATTTAAGGATCACAGGTAGATGTAAGGCATTTGATCCAACCCTGTTGACAGTGAAGTTGTGAAGTTTGGGAGCGCTCTAGAGTCTTAACAATGGTGCTATTTACGGGGCTTACTTGTTCAGTACAAGGTGAAGCCTGGTGGTGTCAATAAAACAAATACATATTTCTTTTCTACTAATTATTGCCAGCCTTTGTTTTGAATTTCTGTCTTGTCTGTAGATGTCCCGCCTGTTGTATTGAATTAACCTTTCCTTCCTCTCCCTTTACACAGCGGGCTTGTTTGCTGTGCTCTCTCTGCCCCCTACGGATAGAATTGAAGTCTATATTTCCCCCTGGGATCTTGACTGGCCATCTTAGTTCTCTGCAGTAGAATCCACATCTCACCCCCAAAACTGGGGACATGAGTAACCTCCCTCCTTCCTATCAGGATTGGCAGGACTTTCTTGTTAGAGGGTAGTAATGCTTCCTCTTTGAGCCCCCGACAACGGTAACAGCTATGGGCATTTTTGGATTGGCATATTTCCCATTGTTACTTTGTCCTATTTTGGCAAGAAAACTATCAACAGTCTCCTTGGGAATTTCAAAAGTTGGCGTGAGCTGCATAGCTTTATCTACAGTTTTATCGAATATGCTCACTTATATTTAGAGAAAGGTGAGTTTGGAAAACTCTGGATATATGAAGCCACTGGTAAACCGAAGTGTTTGAGCTAGGGTTGTCTGAAAGCTGGCCTTGCAAGTCCTGACCTTTAGTCAGGACTAAGATAAAAATAGGGCATGAATCAAATGACTAAGAATGTAATGGGGAAGAAGTGCCCTGCCTGCCCATAAGGTCATCTTGCTGGAGCTGTTGTACCCATGTATTTATTTATCCTCCTCGATCCATAAATTGCTAATTTATGTTTGTCTCTTTGGGGTTGAAAGCACTTTATGTAGTTTGATTAGCCCTGTAAGTTCAAGTGACTGAAGGTTAGCCTCCCATACCCAGTCTTGTAAGTTTTGTTTACTAGGAGCCTGACTTCCCAGCTCACCAGGTGTGATAGCTGAAGTACAGACAGGATCTTAGTAGGTGTCTTAGGTGTGGGGCTGTGAAGACTTGGAGAGGCCAAGTGCTCGGGAAGAGGGATTGATTTAGATGGAGAAGAGGCATGTGGTCTTGAGTGCTGACTAGCTGGGTAGTTGGGGCTCCGCCTCCAAAGTGAAGAGGGAGGGGCTGCTTGGAAAGATGGCTCTCAGTAAATCTGTCTTTTACTTCTCAGGGAAAACATTGCTCAAGCATCAGCATGTACATGCTACCCAGGGTGAACATCTTCGTTTTGGTAGAGCAGCTGGCATTTTTAACAGCTGTTACCGAAAGGGTTAGGACCAAGTGGCTTGTAAAAAAAATGTTTCCCTAACTTCTGTTTCTTATCCCTGAGGAAAAATAAATAAACCTTTTTTTTTTTCCCTAAGTAAGGTGTGGTATGGGTCTTTTTTTTTTTTTTTTTTTTTTTTAATCGCCTTTCTCTTTTTTGGGGGAGGGAGGTAGATCAGGGTGGGGTAGGGGTTGGGTTCAGGGTTTCTCTGTAGCCTTGGCTATCCTGGATTTGCGTTGTAGACCAGGCTGGCCTCATAGATCCTGCTTCTGGCCTGTTGCCTTTCTGTTACACAAGTCTTTTTAGAGAAGTCAGTAGAACGAATACATGTTAAGTGAGTTAAAAGCAAATGTCACAAAGTTGACTTCCCTTGTAACAAAGGAATGTAGTGCCTGTAGTTTAAATTGAAAGTCTTGTTTTTAATGTAACACTGTTTTAAACTACTGTGCTATTTGGGTGATGGAGAATGCTTTTCATTTCCTTTGAGGAGACAATCTTAAGCTGATCTCTTAGCAGAAAGCCAAGTTTCTTGTATGTTCACTAGCCAAGATAGACCTTGAACTTCTAATGCTCTTGCAGGATTTTGGGTATGATCAACCTACCCCTTGTAGGGCATGTGCTTGGACAAAAGGACCCCCCCCAACCTCTCAAACCCACCAGTCAACTGCAAGCTTTCACCTTGTGAGATACCAAGTGTCAGTGTACAGGAAAATGATTTCATGACCTGGGAGGAACTAAGTTCAACTTGGAAGTCAAGGCTGTCCCACTGTGGGGCACGGAAATCAAACTCAGGCTTGCTGGCAAGTGCTCTTAAACCCACTCGGCCACCTCACCAGCCCAAAGGCTGGGTATGTTTAATGTCAGAGGGTTACACAAGCAACGTCTCCACTTTATAGTCCTTTTGAGATGAACAAGATCAATCACTTGAGGTTTTTAGTAGGGCTTGCTATCCATCAGTGTCCCTTCTTCCAAGAACAAGTCGAGAAGAAGCCAGTTTGAAGAACTGTCCTGCCTTTATTGTCAAATACCTTGAAAGGAAGCTGAATCACCATGGAAATGTGCAAATTTGAGTTTTGCATAGGTGGTTTTCAGCCACAAACACCAAACGCTAATCATGCAAACAGGATCCTTCGCCTTCTCGATTTTGATGGTTTAAAACATCTGTTCCCTCTTCACATGGGTTTCATTACCAGATGATTTTTTTACTGTAAAGCTGTTCTGTGCTGGGCATTCATGCCCAGCAGTACCTCCTGGAGTTCAAGGCTGCCATGGGCTGGATAGTGAAATGTTATAAAAGTGTGTGTGTGGGCAAGAGCTGGAGAGATGGCCCTGCCATTTAGGAGCTCTGACTGTTCCCAGCATCCATGGAAGGCAGCTCATCACCTGAGGAACTGATGCTCTCCTATCTGGAGCCCTGTTCACATTCTCAGGCACAGAGGGAAAGGAAAGCGGCCCATTTGTTGGGAATGTGGTTCAGTGGCTGTGTGAACTCACGAGGTCCCAAGTCTGGTTCCTAGGACTGAAAAAGCAGAGTTGTGGACAAGTGTTCCCTTAGCAGAGGCATGTTGGGACAGTGACACTTAACATGCTAAATCTTGCTTGGCGTACACCTGTGATCCCAGCAGAAAGATTGCCTCAGGCCCAAAGCAAGCCTGTGCTATATAACAAGACCCTGTCTCAAAGACAGGCCCCCAAATGTTGACCTGGATTAAGTTCTCAGTATGGTTCCTGTTGACAATTTGCAGTTCTTGACACAGGGCCTGGGCTTTCATTGAACTTTGGATACTTCTGCCTTGGCCTTACATGCCACCAACATGGGCCCCACTGATGTTTCATGACTGGCCCTTACCTTAACTTGAATCAAGCCTGGGGCAGTGGTACAAGCCACTCCAGGAGGCAGAGGCAGGCAGATCTCTTGAGGCCAGGATGCAGGGCTACACAGAGAAATCCTGTCTCAAACAAGAGGTGAGGCCAGGAGAGAAATGGTGCAATCCTGGGAAGCTTGGTGGCTTGGAGATAGAGGCCCTGCTGTTAAGGGCAGTCTTTGCCGCTTGGGGGGTTTGAAGCCAGTTCAGGCTGCCTGGAAAGTTGTTTGGGGAAATGGTTAAAAGTGGCTGTGGTGGCACACATCCTAATTTCACCACCACTTGGGAGGAGTTTAAAGCCAACTAGGACTGTTACTCAGAGTCACTGGAGGAATGACACACACACACACACACACACACACACACACACTCCCACCCCTGCGTTTGATACAGCTAAGGTTCGGCTTGCTTGTTGCTAGGGTAGGAACCCAGAGCCTTTTGAATGCCAGGCGAGCCATCAGACAGCATCTAGTCCTTTCCTTTTCTGGTGTTGACATCGGAGCTGTGTTGGTGAGGGCCCCTGCAGTCGAAGCCACAACTGCTGCTCTGCACACAAGTTGTGCTGAGCACCTGCTAGTCCTGTCCAGTGAGTCAGCCAGGTCATGGTGTTGCTGGAGTGCTTTCCAAGGTAGGGTGTCACTCATTTGTTGGCTGTATGTTTGGGTGCATGTTTACAGTCCCCTGCAGTGCCACCTGCTCCCCACCTTTTCTTGAGATGAGGTTACGCTCTAGCCCAGGCTGGGATCGAATTTGGCGTGACAGCCTTGCCTCCGAAGAGCCTTGCCTCTGAAGCCCTGACGTGAGGTGACCTTTTCTCCGAAAACAGATTTTGGTAAACTAGAGGATTTTACAAAAATGAGAGTGAGGAAAGTACCATTAGTGCACAGCGTGGCTACAGGCTGCTCCCACAGCTGAATCTACAGAGTGTTTTAGTGCTTCTGGGCTTGTTCAGTGATTTCAAAATTCTGCCTTCAGGAACCTCCTCCACCCCTCTTCAAAGGCTTCTCTGCGGATTTGAAAGCTTCTTAGTCAACAGTAGTTTCAGTGTTAGCTTAGCTTATCTCAGTTATGTGAAGCATCCGGAAGGGGGGAGGGGCATCCGCCTGGGAGGCCTGGGACTACAACAACTTGAGAATTGACTATTTTGTCTTTGGAGACCAAATGGTCACTGTGTTGCCCAGGGAAAACCTGGACTTAGTGACTCTCCTACCCGAGACAAGGGAGAAGGGACTTGCTTCGGGTCAGTAATTCCTTACTAATAATTTGAGACAGGATCTCATATACCCTAGGCTAGCCTTGAACTCCCTACTTGGTAGAGGTTGCCCTTGAACTACTGATCTTCCTGCCTTCGCCTCTCAGGTGCTGAAATTATAGGCCTTTACTGCTGCACCAGGCTGTCCACTGATAGTTGTTCCTTTCCTACCTCCGCCTCTTGGGTTTGGTAGGTTTGTGATTCTACAAAATAATAGTTCCCGACGGCTGGGAGATGTCTTAGGACCCCTTCCAAGAACAAAGTACCATTGATCTTTAAATTACCAAGACCAACTTTGCAGTGGTTTGAAAGCCACTGTAGACTGCTGGGTGTGGTTGAACACGCCTGTAATCCCAGACTCTAGGAGGCAGGGGCAGGCAGCTCACAAGAGTTCTAGGCCAGCCTGGTCTACAAATGAGTCCAGAACAGGCAAGGTTACACAGAGAACCCCGTCTCAAACAAATACAGTGAACTGTGGTTTTGTTCATTCGTTTGGGAGTGGGGTTTTTTGCTGGTTTTTTTTTTTTTTTTTTTTTTTTTTTAAGATTCTATATTCATTTATTTTAGTTTTTGAGACAGGGCTTCACTATGTAGCTGTGGCTATCCTGGAATTTGCCGGCCAGGCAAATTTATAAACCAGGTTGGCCTCAAACTCAGCTCCACCTGCCCCTCCTCCCAGGTGCTAGGATGTGTGTTGTGTGTCACCACATCCTGCTGTGTTTATTTTTGATCCAGGGTCCACTACGTAGTTTTAGCTGGTGTGGAACTTGCTGTATAGTGGATCATGAGAGCCTTGAATGCCCAGAGATCTACCTCCCAAGTGCTGGGACTAAAGGTTCATGGCCCAGCCAGCCTGGCTTTATTTAGTTTTAGTTACCTGAATGTGGGAGAGAGTTCTGTGCCTGTGAGTGGGTTGGACCCTTTGAAGCTGGAGTTGGACATTTTCAGGCTACCTGGTTTCTGCAAGAGCACCGTATGCTCCTAATGGCTGAGTTCCCACCACCGGCCCCCCCCCCCCCCCCACACACACAAAGGAGCCTAGATTGGAGTTTTCCTTTTCCTCCTGGGGTAGGGATAGATAGTACTATATGTTCTGGGTAGTGGCACATTTCTGCCTAGCTCGCAGGGGAACAACTGATGTGACCCCACAGTCTACCACAGTGTACTGGGAGTTTTTGATACTACATTGACTAGCTATATTAAGTGCCTGGCCTTACTCCAGACAGTCTTGTTCCGTGGGCTGTCTTCCTCATGCTGGGATTACTACCCTGTCCTTAACTAAATTTCTGCATGGATAACCTATTGTACTAGAGCTCAAAGCTCACAGCTGCCCAGCCCTTCACCTTCCCGACTCTCAAGAGTCGGAAAGCAAGCATGTTTTTGAGCTTAGGACTGAAAGCTACACTCTACACAACAAAATTTAGTAGGAACCCCTGAAAGTTACTAAATGCATGCTGGCTTCTACCCTTGTTCCCGTGGGAGACTCAGGCCCTCTTCCTGTTCTGATTCAGAAACCAGTTTGCTCTGGCTGCCAGACTTCCCCAGACTGCATTTTTCTTGCCCATGAGCTCATTGTTTTGGCTTCTTTGCCGTATAAGTCCACCCAGCCCGTTGGGGAGGTCTCAGCTCCTGCTCCCCTAACTGGCCCGGCCTGCATTCCATTCAGAATTTCACCACCCCCACCCCCACTTGCTGTGGTCACGTGTGTGTTTATTCAAGTTAGCCTGGGACAAGGTGTGCTGGGAAAGAGTCCAAGAAAATAGTCAAGAAACAGCTTAACTGTTAGGTAATATCCTGGGTTTAAGAAGCTTGCAGCTTTTTTTTTTTTTTTTTAGGACATGATTTGTGGTGTGTACTCGAACTTGCAGCATTCTCCTGTCTCAGCCACCACTGCATGTTAAAATCCCGAGCATGAGCTGCCGTGCCTGCTATTCCTCTACCTAGGTCTGCCTGCCGTGCTTTCTTGCTCAGCTCACACC